TCATACAATTGTATGCTGTAATTGATAATGCAAGATGATTGTATGTGATTGGGCAGCAATGAAAAGTAACAAATGCAGTTATTGAATGTTTCCTTGGACAACAATGAGTACAGTTAAAGAAAGTGCTGGACAGCAATGAGATGATATGAATCCAAGATGTAGAATTCCCTTGGAAGTTCATGTAATCCCTTGCCAGGTGAAGTAATAATAAGTAACACCTCTTAGGAGACGTACTACTGTTGAGATATATATAGTCCCACATTAGTTGTATGTGCAACTAATGTGGAGTTTATAAGGTCTTGAGCACTCTCATCCTTTGAGCTAGTTTTTGGGATGGTGTATCCCAAGTTCTTTACATGGTATCAGAGCTTGAGCCCTTACTGCTCCCACTTTAAAGTGGAATTAAAATAAAATAAAAAAAGCACAAAAAGATAAACCGAAAATTGGGCCTGTGCAATTCCACACTTCTAGCCCAATGGGCTCTCGTATGAGGGAGCGTTTGAGATATATAGTATCACATTGGTTGTATGTGCAACTAATGTGGAGTTTATAAGGCCTTGAGCACTCTCACCCTTTGAGCTAGTTTTTGGGGTGGTGTATCCCAAAGTTCTTTACACTACAGTGAGCAAAGAGAGCTCATGGAAATGTATGGATAAAGTTGTGACCTCTTAGGAGACATCCTACACTGAGCTACTAGAGTCATGGAGGCACCCCTACGGATAAGTGTTTGATGCCATTTTGATTGCCTAATGTGTCATTGTTATGCAGTGTCATTGTGATGGATTTTGTGATTTCTTTTTGAGTATTGTTATACTAATCTCTCTGCAGAAAGTAGTGAAGGGGGGAGAATTTATTGTTTTTTTAATCAATAATTATGAAAATATAGTTGTTTTGAAATTATTTATGCAAATATAACACTTAAACACGCTCGCATGGAATGTGTTTCAATGGAGAGAGACGCGTCCATATTGGAAGTGACCTATAGGGCAAACATGCCCAAGAGGGGCGTGACTAGGTGAGAGACACGCCCAACAGCGACGTGACCTCCCTGGTCTATATAATCCCCATTTTTCACATTTTCCTCATTTCATCCTTCATATTCTCTCTCTAAACCACTCCTCCAACTTCTCTCTATATTTTTTCTGGAGCGTTTTGCGCAGCGAAACTCTGTCTCTCTCGTGTAAGTTCCAATTTATTGTTTATATTTTTTATTAACATCAATAAATATATGATAGTTAGTGACTTAGTTAATTGTTAGTACCTTAGAAAAATGTTAGTGACCTATGTAAGAGAATGATTAGTGACTTAGATAATTGTTAGTACCTTAGAAAAATATTAGATAAGAGAATGATTAGTGACTTAGCAATTATATAGGAACTTAGAAATTAGTTAGTTACTTATAAAGTGGTATATGCTGGTGATAGGAATTAGTTAGAGACTTATAAATTAGTTAGAGACAATTAATAATTTTATAGGAATGACACGTATGAACATATTGACCTTTGCAATAATTACATTGTAATTAAAGTTTGAAAAAAAAAATAGAGTAGGCAATATTAATTTAAGTTGATTTTAAATTATTTAATATATTTAAATATAATCTAGAATAATGTAATGTTCTTTAATTTAGTTTTATTGACGTTAATTTTGCTAAAATTAATATCACTTAATTCAATTCAATTCAATTAAATTGCTATTTAATAAAATGCTATTAAATTTCATTTAATGTAATTTAATATAATATCAATAGTAATTTGTGTTTAATTTTTTCAACTGTGCTAGTATTCTGTTAGGGCCCATTCGTCTTCGTCAGAGTCGTCGCCCTCTGGATCCAATGGTGATGTTGAGCCTTCCGATCCTTGTACGCATGTACTTCCTGGACCATATAGGTGGGAGGTACTTCATAAGAGGACACAACGCACTCACGTTTCACAACTTGTGTGGAACGAGGATAAGGTAAAGGGTTAAAGACTCGAAGTGGGAAACTACAGGGTGGACCCTGTCATGATGATATTCCAGATGTAGTGGCTGACTATTTGACATAGGCTGATTTTATACACGTGGCACATATGAGTCATATTCTGGTATATAATTTATAAATTACTAAATGAAATTACTGTAACAGGACTTTGTATAAAGTATTGATGTGCTTACATATTGTCTGACAAATGTTGTTTCTCTTTCAGATCGATACCGCCCTTATTAGTGCTTTGGTTGAGCGGTGGAGATCAGAGACACATGTTTCACATGACGCAGGGAGAGATGACAATCACATTACAGGACGTGGCTGGTATACTCGGTTTTCCTACTGACGGGCAGGCAGTTACCGAACATACAACGTTGGATTGGACCGCAGTGTCTCAGCAGGTTTTTGGGACTGCCCCTGTCTCGGGCATAGACATTCACAATTGCGATCGACGTATCTCATACGTGGATATATTATATCCTGATTGGGGCCCTGTTGCACACAATCCTGATGAGGTGAGGTGTTATACCCCGGACACACATTTTGCGGCTATTAGGCTCATGGCTACTGTGTGACAGATCGAGTGGAGGCAAAATTGCGTGTCGTTACGTTCCACTGCTAGTAGGGGACTTTCATGTATTACGTAATAATAATAATAAACAGGAATTAATTACATCAACATCGCACTACGCAAATATTAATAGTTGTTACAGAGCATACCTTCAGGATGTTACGGTACTTGACTCGATGTTGCGTCATGATGTACTACGATACGAGACTCCCCCAAATCATGCCACGACTAGATTTAAGAAACGGACCTGCCACATTCTTCGTCATTGTTTGATGCACTGGCATCCTTTGTAAGAAGACGATCCTCTATTGTGATATTTTCCTCATATCATCCTCATAGTCCTCATCCATAACCCAGGTAGGGTCATGTTCATCTTCCTCATACATGTTAACAGCTGGAGCAGCAAATGAGGATGCATTAAGAGGAGAATTAAAAGTAACTGACCTCATTGGTATCACAACATCCTCCGTTGTGGCAGTTTTCACGTACAACTCTAAGAAATCCTTTCTAGACTAGTTCAAGAACTCTTCCATTACCATATCAATGTCTTCTTCGTCGACCACTTGCAAACTAATGTATTGTTCACATTGCCATAATCTTGTCATGACTAGAGTGATCAATTGGTTGTCTTCAAAACATAATTTTTGTCGTATTTTCTGATGAAGCTCCGCATCCGTTGAGTTCCACTTAATACGTGACCTTCCTCTTTCCTACCATTATAATATAGAACAACACGAATAGATTTAGAATTCGAACTCATTGTTAGAAATAAAAAAAAGAATAACATAAAACGAAATATAAATAAACAAGTGCAAATGAATGTGGGAGTTTAAGAATAATGAGTGAGAAGAGTTGTGAAGAGTGCATAGAGGATAAATGTATAAATAAGCTGTAGTTGGGTCACTCACGCTCTGGTTGAGCATGATCTCCAGCTGGAACACGTTTCATGTGGGCGTGTCTCTCTCATAGGTCACGCCCTACATGGACGTGTCTCTCTCTTGTTGGTCACGCCCCATCTGGGCATGTTTCCCATGTAGGTCACGCCCAACATGGACGTGTCTCTCTCCATTAAAACACGTCCCATGTGGGCGTGTTTGAGTGCTTTATCTGCATAATTAATTTCAAAACGACTATACTTTTGTAATTATTTATTAAAAAAGCAATAAATTATTTTTTTTCTTCCAAAAAGACCTCAATAGTTTCTTGGTTTATTGAGTTACAACTCACCCCCTTTTCGGGGCTGCTAATGCAGGAGGCAACTGTGGAAACTATTGGAAAAGAATGATGACCTGGAAGTCATGGCGATCCTAACCCAATCTAAACTCTAATGTGATATATTTTAACTTTGAGTAAATATTTTCATCAACCAAAAAATACGAAATTTATTTTAATTCTTTAAAGAAAAAATTGATTCAAAAATTAAAAAAAACTTATATTAATTCTTAAAAAAAATATTGAGTTTTAAGAATTAATATGAGTTTTATTTTTTATCGAGGGACTGTTATGTAATGAGATGCTCATTGCATGACTGTGCTAGTCTACCGACAAATGTTCTCATCATTAATTAAAAAAAGTCGTGTTCCTTCTAAAAAAGAGACGAGTTAATTATTTAAAATTAGGTTAAATTATATGTATGTCATTATAATTTTATTAAAATTTTAAACAAGTTTTTTACAATTTAAAAGTTTTAATCCAATGTATAAAATAAATAAATTTAATCCATACTTTCAAATAAAATTAGGCGAATCTTTAGTAACTTATGATTATTAGATTCCTTTAATGAATGCTTACTCTCGTTTATTAGTCACTTATGTTACTATTACTAGTTTTATTCATTAGTAACCTAATTAAAAATTTAATTAATCTGTAAGAAATATATTTAAAAGTTATTTAAAAAATGGGGTAGGATCCTTTAAACTAATTTAAAAATTCAGGAAGGCGCAAGGATAATAATTTAACTTTAAAATTATTTTTTGAATTTACATTATAATAAAGGGTTTTATAAGAGTTATGTTATAGGAAAATTGATTGTATCAAATTATAAATATTCATTTTCCGTACTTTAATTTTATTTTTTTTTGCTTTAAAAAATGCGAGCCCCAATTATTTTGAGTGTGTAAAAACTTTTTTATATCATGATGAATGCAAATTCCTATAATAAATTTGTCCAACCATGAACCACCATGTCACGTGTCGATTTTATGAAATAATATTTTCCGGCTGATATTTTTGCAATTTTAATAAAAAAAGAAGATATTTTCAATTGGAGGATTTGGCTCGTGGCACCGGACTCATGAGAGTTTGTTTGTTTGATTGTTTTTTGCTATAAGAATGACGTTTAAAGTTCTTCAAACAGTGGATATCATTTTTGCTTTCCCTCCTTAACTTCCCTCTACCTGCCATTGGTGACTCCGTGAAACAGTGAGAGTGACACTGATACTGACCCTGATTTCCTCTCCGTCATCTTTTCCTTCGCCATGTTCCGCTTCCCTTCCATCATTCTCTCACGCCGTCTCCACCGCCGCAACAAACTATTTTCCACCACTTCGCAACCGCTCGAGCTACCGCTCTCTCACCCCATCTACATCATCTGGGGCTCCAACACCGGCGTTGGCAAAACCCTAGTCTCCGCCGGCATCGCCGCCGCCTCCCTACTATCTTCCCCTGCCAAATTTCACTACCTGAAGCCCGTCCAAACCGGTTTCCCTTCCGACTCCGACTCCCGCTTCGTGTTCAACAAGCTCCGCCAACTCTTTCTCCGCCGCAAACTCCACACTCCTTTCGCCGCCTCTCACCGCATCCTCAATGCCTCTTCCGCCGCAAGGGACAGCGGAAATCGCGACAACGAGATGGATCTGTCTTCGTATTTCGCCGGTGAAGAAGGGCTTGCCTTCTCGGAGTTGATTTGCAAGACCTTGTTTGCGTGGGAAGAGGCGGTGTCGCCGCATTTGGCCGCGGAGAGGGAAAGTTTGGTTGTGAAGGACTCGGTGCTGCTGGAAATGTTGCAGCAGTGTTTTAGAGACGTGTTGGAAAGTGGTGTGGATAAGGAGAGATCGGAAGTTGTGTGTGTCGTTGAGACTGCCGGTGGAGTTGCGAGTCCAGGTCCTTCTGGGTCACTTCAATGTGACTTGTATAGGTGTGTATTTTACTCTCACCTTTCGTTAAATCATATGCGGATTCAATTTTGGTGTGTGTATCTAGGTGGCTCAAATTTTGTTCGGTTTGGTAATTGCAATTTCATGCACTGTTGATTCTTGATACTCTTTGTCAGATCATAGTCACGGGAATTTTGCAATTAACTGCTAATATTTAGTCATTTAGGCAAAGGAAGCAAACAAATTGTATGCATTATCAGGCAATGATGATTAAACAGTAATGCGTGTAGTATGGATATACTGTATCTATGAATTTTTCTGTTAAATCCGTTCCTTCTGCCGTTTTCTGCAAGGCCATTCCGTATTCCTGCAATTCTTGTCGGAGATGGGCGGCTAGGAGGTGTTTCTGGAACAATTTCAGCTTACGAGAGCTTGGTGATTCGAGGTTATGATGTTGTTGCTATTGTTCTTGAAGATCACGGCCTTCTAAATGAGGGTCCACTAATGTCTTATATGCGAAACAAGTAAGCTTGATTACACTAGTTACTATGTTCCCTTTTTGCTTGTGACTTGAAGCACAGATAAGTCTACTTACTCTTAGAGTTTTACTTGTGTTCCTTTTTCTGGTGGTGTTTTGGGTAGAACTGAAAAAATTGTACTGAAGTTTGTTGTATCGAAAAGTTTAGCACTAAATTTTAAATGTTTGATAATATTTTTTTATTTTAAGTTATTGGTATCTAATTACACAATTAATCTACGTTAAAGGAAATTATTTTAATTTAACAACTTAAATAAGAAATGGGTTAATTGTTTATGCTCAATGTATTTAGGGTGTCTATGACAAACATTATGTTATTTAACCTTGTTTTCGGTGAGAAATAATTTTTTTATATTTATATGCCTGGGAACTAAGAAGCTAATTTTTTTTTTCTCCTCAATTTTGTTCCTGTGTTACTAGTTTATTCTCTGGAACAGGAAAATAAACTGATTCTATCAAATGCAATTTTTAACCATGTCTGTTCCCTAGATGAAAAATAGAGAAAAAAAAAAAGTTTTGGGAATCCTAGGGTGTGCATGACAAGGTTCCTAAAAACTTTTTTTTTTTTTTAAATCAGAGTAATAGAAATGGTTAGAAATTGTGTTTGATAAAACCGGTTTATTTTTATATTCTAGAGAATTAACTGGTAACATTTATTTTCAATATAGTTATAATTTTAAACAATAAATTTTAAATATAATAAATCATTTATGTTATATTTTAAACTATTTTTGGTTATATTTTTGAATCTTACGACATGATTCACGATTAAAAAACCAGCCTAACATTTACTATTTGAATTGCCATCAAATAACTTTGAATGCAAAAATATATTTTAAAAATTTGCTCAAATATTGGTGGTGAGGATAATTTGGTAAAATCAATTCTTAAAGGACAATATGCTTTCGGAGTGGATTCTCTCATGTATTATTGAACATGACCACGTGGAGGATTCTAACTATTCATTGGTAAATCAATGGTGATGAGAGAGAAAAAACAGGGGATAGGGAGTTACAAAATTATCAACTTTGATTGTCCATGAATGGTTGGGATTTTCTCACATTATACGGTCACGTAAAATAACACATGAGAGGATCCATTTTTTCCAGAATTAAATTTGGCCAAAAGTAACAAAATGTCACTTGCCTCAACGTGGGTTTGAGGCTTTTGATATTAGAATAGTTATCTGCCAATAGTTTGCCAAATGTGCGTTTGATAACTTTTAATTTTCAGAACTCAATTGAGTTTTACAAACAGGCTCTCTCTCTCTCTCTCAAATGCGTAAATACACCCAAAGTTCCTTTATAGCTAGCTGCATTTACGTCTCAGCTAAGTAGCTATCTTTTTGACTTTTTACCTGATGCTTATATACTCTTGTTGCCTTCTTCATGCAGGGTTCCTGTTCTAGTGCTACCACCTGTTCCAAAAGATCCATCAAATGACCTACTGGAATGGTTTGAAGATTCTCATTATTTATTTAGTAATCTAAAGGAAATACTGCTATCTGCTTATTTTGAGAGAATCAAGAAGTTGCATGACATGCCAAGAAAGGCGAGTGATATCATCTGGTGGCCATTTACTCAACACAAACTTGTACCAGATGGAGGGATCACAGTAATTGATTCACGCTGTGGTGAGAACTTTGCAGTCTTCAAGGTTTGTTTTAATTAAATTCTTTATTTGTTCTTTTTTTTTTTTAAAATAAATTTCTAAAAGCTTTGTGATACGAACAACTTAACAGTATACTAAATTGAAAGGAAATTGACAACCGATACACAAATTATGAAATGAATCTGTAAATTGTATTGATGTTCAAACTGGAAAATAACCTAGTACATATGACAACCATCTGAACAAAAAATACAAAGAAAAACTGGAAGCAAAATTACGAGGAACGAGTAATGGAAAGGATAATTTCAGAAGACTTAAGAGAGCCTCTGATCTCTCCCAAAAGCTAAAGGTTTCCAAAGCCCAAAGATGATCCGAGAAATGCTGTGATGCTGCCCCCACTCCAATATAACAGTGCCCTTTTGCTCTCCTATTACATTCCATGCTAACTGTTTATAACATAAATGCCATTCACCCTTGTGCTAAGTCGGCAATAACAGACTTTGAATAGTTGATCCCCTGTATCGTTGCCTACTGTACACCCTCATCTTAGAAAGGGTTGTATCACTTTGCAATTCAAATCTTAGTAGACTGCACTATGCTGAGCTTACTGCTTTAGTGTTTACTTTGGAATTAGATTCAGAAGTTTTATAGAATTACTTCATTCATGTTTTTTTTTTATATGCTGATACCTAGATGCCACATTACTTGATTTTTCTTTTCTTAAAGGCTCAGAAGACAGAAGTCATAGAACCACTATTTGATGCATGTGCTAGTTGGTGGACTCAAGGACCTGATGCTATAATGCAGGTCATCCTCATTTTTTTTAAGCTTTTAATTCTATTATTTAAACTGATAATAATGGTATTAGTTATTTGATGGAGGGACATATACCAAAATATGTCATTCTTCCTTTCTTTTACTGTTGGACATGCCTGTAAAAGTGTCCTCTATATCTTTTTAATTTTTATTGCTTAACTATTTAGTTTAACTCAGCTTATGTCATGTTTTTTTGCCAAACTTTACATAGCTGGTTCCAATTCCGAATAAAAAGGGAGGTTTGTATTAGACTGTCAATAGCCAATGTAAAATTTAATGATTCTTTATGACATGGATCAACAATCCAATTGTTCTTCATTATTTATTTTATGGGCAAAACTACTCACAAGACAACCCAACTTTTTTAATATTTGTTTAACAACGTTGAAGTTTTCTTATTTAAAATATAATTTAAATTCCTTTAAGAATTGTACTCCCCTCTCTCCCTAATTTTTTTTATTTGGTTCTGCCACTGTTTTGTTTTCTAATTCTTGCTACTTTTAACTTAGGTTAAGTGTTGGTGTGTGTTGAGATATATAAAACCATTAATGTAGCTTCACCCATGAATTGGTTCTTTACATGGTATCAGAGCCTCATGTCTCGGGTTCGATTCTCACCGCCCCCCACTTTCTTTCTAGTGGAATTTCTTTCTTCGCACAGGTAGGTGGGCCTGTGCATTGTCCACTCTTCAAGCCCAGTGGGCTCTCGTGTAAGGGGGTGTGTTGAGATATATAAAACCATTAATGTAGCCTCACCCAACAGCTTAAGCTTTTGGGTTGAATTGGTTCTTTACAGTATATTTGGCATTTTGGCTCAGGAGTTTTGGCAATACTTCTCTTCCTCCAAAAATTTCTGCTCATGGTCCTTTTAAAAGATGTTTCTAGATTGGACTAGCAAGTTGCAATGGGTCTGGGTTGCTCTTTTGCATTGATTTATTTGTTTTTTCCTGTGGTTATATTTTATTTGTAGCTTTAGGAGGATTCCTGATCATCCCGTTTGTACTATTTCCTTTCTTAAAACAATTAGGTTAGGGCAATTCTCATGCAACTTCTATTTAGAGCGTGGGTGAAGATATGAGTGAGAATGATGGTACCCAACAATGTAGCAGTAAAATTCACAGCGAAATAACAAAGAAATACTTCTATTGATGTAACAAGACACTGGGGGTAACTCCTTTACAGACTCAATGATACTGGAAAATAACAAAAGAGCAATATGAACTCTTCAGCTTGATTACAGACTCCCACCTACTGTAGCTCACCACTAACAAACACTAAACCAGGACACTGAATTAAGACTCACCATACTAATGACACTATAGAAACGATACAGTGATCATACTCCCTTAACAAGGCAATCCACCACCTCATTGAGCTTCCCTCTCCAACCCCACTGTTGCAATATTCTCAAATCCCCCCACATCCCCTTCATTCTCCCTTATAACTAACTCTCCACACCACCCACGCTTACCTCCCCATTCAGAGCCATCCACATGTCACTCCTTCTAACAAACTCCTTATTTTCCTTCTCTCTCGAATTCCCATCCTTAGCAGTAGGGTTGGCAAAACGGGCCAACCCGGCTCGACCCGGCCCAACCCGCATTCAACCCATAAAAACGGGTCGGGTTAGGGTTGGCTCGAAAAAATAAACGAGCCAGAAAACTCAACCCAGCTCGACTCGAGCCGGGTTAGGGTTGGCTCGGAAAAAAGCTCGCGGGTTGGCTAAAAAAAAACTCGCAGATTAACTAGAAATGATGCCAGTGGGTTGGCTCGCGGGTTGGTTAGCTCGAAATATTGGCTCGTGGGTTGGCTCGCGGGTTGTACACAGATCATTTCGTTCATCTTCCCACCCAATGTAAGCAGCCACCATGCTATTAAACCATATCTTGCGTTGTCTTTTCTCATCATACTTTACACCCGGGATTGGACCCATAATTGTTTTCACTCCTCCATCTTTCAACCATTCCAGCTTCATACCCAGTTTAGCAGCCCCGCAAATTATTCCAAGTGAGACCATTGCCAAAGCATGAAGAATAAGAATAAGGGTGGACAATGCACAGGCCCACCTACCTGTGCGAACAAAGAAATTCCACTTGAAAGAAAGTGGGGGGCGGCGAGGATCGAACCCGGTACACCGAGGCTCTGATACCATGTAAAGAACCAATTCAACCCAAAAGCTTAAGCTATTGGGTGAGGTTACATTAATGATTTTATATATCTCAACAAAGAGCTACACATAAACTCACTGATCAAATATGCAACATTTTTTCTTCACATAAAAATAAAGAGAATCCTTTTAAAAAAGCAGAAACCTTTGCTCGGCGATGGCCTTATCGCTGGTCAAGAAGTTTGATTTCCAGCCACGGCCAATTGGGGATGAAGGATTGTCGTCTTTCCCTAAAACCCTAATGTACAACAAACCATGTTCCTCTAATCTGTCCACAAAATCAGGGTACTTGTCCTTCATCCTGTTATACACAACATGGCTAAGAACAATTAGGGTTTCACCCCCACTCCCAGGTTCCACTTCACAGAAGAAAAACAATTTGGAAGGAAATTCAAGAACTTGTTCAAAAACCCCAATTCAAAAAAAAAAATCCAACCCGCGAGCTGACTCGTTTGACCCGCGAGCTGGCTCGTTTGGGTCTGGGTTATATCGGGTCGGGTTGAGTCGGGTTGACAGCTCATTTAGGCCAACCCAACCCAGCTCATTTAGGACGGGTTGCGAGCCAACCCGACGGGTTGCCTTGTTTTTGCCATCCCTACTTAGCAGCTACACGCACCACATTGGCTTTGGTGTCTTCATTGCTCTTTTCCTTGGCTTGTTGAGCACTCTCTTTGCTGGTCTTGGGCTGGTTTTGGGCTTCGTTGTCTTTCCTTTTATTTTTCCGTCTTATGCGGCTGTATACTCGAATTGGGGGCCCATCAGAGAACCATGCAGTAACATATAAAGAACTAGGTTAGGACCACACCTTAAAATTTAGTGCATGCGCAATTGGATATTTTCTCCAGGAACTTCTTAATATATTTCAACAGGATATTGATTTATTTACGGGAGAAGTTTATAGGGGTTGGAAATGTTTATTTTATCTTTTAAATACGGATTTTTATATATTTTGTCTTTCACCTCTGTTGTAAACAAAAGTAGAATTCCAGCACAAGATAGAGTGATTTTATACATTGTTTACACTTCAAGCCCAAAGAGTTCTTACGTGAGGGGGCATGTTAGATAAAAAACCAATTGTGAATCTTCACCCAATGGCTTAGGCTTTTAGGAGAGTTGACCTTGACAATTCATGCATTGCACTACTGCACTGTGATATAAGAAGTATAACTGTGCTGTATGAATGTGGCATCTTTACATAATTAAATTTGTTATCTCAATATTTGATCATGTGACCTCTCTCTCTCTATCCATGCCCCTGGTAAGCTTATTAATGTATTTATAGAAGTTGCAAAGTTATTTGACTTATTTGGGTGTTCCAAGGTGCTTATACTTGCAACATATCTTGCTATTTTATATTAAACATGTTTGAAAGCATATTTTTACTTGGATGCTCCTTCATGATAGCATCTCTGAACTTTTCCTTTACTGCAATCTTTCCTTTTAGGTGATTTCAGACTGAGCTTGCTAGGGAGATGGCATATGCTGCCGCAAGATTTGGGCATGTAATGTTCCCTGAGAATGTTCATGAGCCAGCCTTAAATTGTTCTGAGCTTTTGCTTGAAGGTGTGGGGAAAGGTTAGTGTGTCCTTTTTTTTAACTTTTACATTTGAACCATAATTTTTTTTCTATTAGGAATTTACCAAGTGGTTGCTTGTAGTTTTGTATTTAATACATGATATGAATTCTGATCTTAGAGCTATCCAATCAATGAATACTTTGGTTAAAAATATACTTGTCAGTTTAGTCCTACTTCTACTCAGTGATGTTTGCCAATGCTCAGTGTTATCCACTGAACGAGGGCATGTTTGTTATGTGTAGTTTGCATTTCTTCGTACGGTTGCTGACTTATGTATTATTTATGTAAATTCCTATCTCGGTGTTGTGTTTTACTGGGCTAGAGTTTGTGTAGGTTGGGCTTCTCGAGCATATTTTTCAGACAATGGATCTACTGCTATTGAAATTGCTCTGAAGATGGCATTTCGTAAATTTTCTGTTGATCATGGACTTATTCTGGATTGTCATGAGGATACTACAAATGAAAGATCCACTGAGCTTATGGTTGGCACCTTCAGTCCTTTAATTGATCTGTGGTAGTTTTTGCTACATTGTATGAAGTTTAATTTTGACCATTGTGGCTGGTATTCTATAAAAGCAATGGTGTATTTGCAAAATAAGGGGGAAATTGGTAGTTGATATCAGTGAAGCCCTTTTTATGCTTTGGGAGAGCTAAGTGACCGTTGGAAAACAAAAAACACAATAATTTTGATTGAATATTTTCTGATGACATGCTTGAAATGTTGAAAGTTGAGATGGTAGAGCTAATAAACTTATATAGCATTTTTAATATTTATTTCATTGTGATTTTGGCAGAACTGGAGATTAAGTTTGTTGGTTTGTAACTTGGTACTGCTATCATATATGTATGAAAATCATGTATAATTATCTGCTTCTAATAAAACATTTTCAAACATGTTAAATGTGTAAAAACCGTTTCTTTCTTCCATCACACTTATTTCTGAAGCTTTTAGTTAGTGTAGTATTGATTCTTTGGCCAATGGGCCAAATGTTTAATATAGCTGTTCCTAATTTTTATTATTAAATTCCTATACAATAATGTTGTTCAGGCTCTATCTCCTGATAGCTACATGTGGTTCAGGGCAATATGAATGCATATTGTTCTAATGTTGTCCAGCTGATGCTTCTGTTCGTAATAGGTTGTTGGTTATATTTTTGACTCTTGGGTTTATCTTTTCAGTTTTAAATAATTTCTTCAGATTAGTTTTTGGGGCCTTGGAAGGAGAGTGGAACGTTTTAAGATGATGTGCTGACTATGCTGTTTTATGGTGTATTTGGCTTGAGCAAGATGTCCCTGTTTTCAAGAACTTATCTCGTTCCCTAGATTTGTTATTGGATAGGATTGTTTTTCTGGTTTTCATTTTGTACTCCCATGATTTGATGAGCCTGTCTGTTCTCTATTTTGTTTTGTGTTTCCTTTTTTAAGGAGGATAATATGCATTTATTTTCTCTCTGATAGTTTTTTTTTTCTTTTATTGAAAATAAAAAATGGAAAGGAATTTTTGATAAGAAGATTTCCTGTTTAGGAAGAATTAACCACTCAAGTGGTTGATTAAATCATTAAGTGGTTACTTACTGGCCACTCTTTGAACATTGTTATTGGGTTGAGAGGTTAACTATTCCTAAACTAGTTTTTTTTACTGAGAATTCCTTTTTGTAATTTTCCCTGAAATAGAATCTCTGTATTATGCTCATTTCGATAATAATCTGTGTCTATTTGTCATGTCGGTCATGTTAGGCAAATTTTACGTCCTCTTTAAGTAGTCTTTCAAATATTGTAGATTTAAATGTAAGGCTCTGGTGTCTTTTAGATTGAGTGAATAATGCTGTGTATCTTTGTTAGATAACTTCATTTTGTTTAAATGATGGTGGGCTGCAATATTATCATTTTAATCTCATTTAATTTTACTTTCCAAATAGTGGTTTGTGTATTTTCTCTGTAATTCTTCAAGCATCTAGTATACAAGATATATTGCAATAATTTTTTTTTTTTTTTTTTAAGAAAAAACTTAATTTTATCCTATGAAGTACACATCTTTGTTAATTGCTTGTGGACCTAATTATTTCAGGTCCTTGCACTTCAGAGATCTTATCATGGTGATACATTGGGTGCTATGGAAGCACAGGCGCCATCATCGTATACAGGCTTTCTGCAGCAACCATGGTATGGACATCATCTTCTACTGCATAAAGTGAAATTCAGTCTTGCTAATTTGTCTTGAATCTTTTACTACTTGAGCTTACTATTGTCATTTTGCACTGTATTGTTATGGTGTTATCTAAGTGATATGTGCTCCAGGTCAATTGGTAGCTTTTGAATTTGGCATCCAGTTAACATGGGCCTTTTTATAATCTCTCCGTGTAAAACATTATAAAAGGTGTTGGAAGATAGACCAAAAATAGACACAAGCAGTTTTGGTTTGGGAATTTCTGTTTAGCATAAGACATATTGGCAATTTTTTTTTAATTTTATAATATTTTCTTCATGCTTAGTATATTTTGTTTAAGTGCAGAAGTGATTTCCCTCCTGCCACACACTCACCAGCATTTTTTCTTTATTTTTTTAAAAAACAGGGTGGGTCCCACCATGTTTTTGTGTCAGATGCAAACTCTCAAATTTTGCAGTGACAGGAGAGTTGCAAAGCCCTTTTGTTTAAAAACCTTTTGTGAAGCTATATTATATTTTGTTTGTGAATTCTGAAATTGATGCCATAGATCTTCAATTCTTGGATCATATTTTCTTTATATATATCAGAATCAGATTGGAATTGATTCTAGTTTTCTCAACCTAACTAATACTGATGAAACTCTAAGTCTCAATTTTCAATTTCATAGGTACACTGGAAGAGGTCTTTTTCTGGATCCTCCTTCTGTCTTTATGCACAACAATACATGGAATATTTCCATTCCGGAAGGGTTTCAGTCAGAAAATCTGAAACATGAAAGTATCAGTAAGTTCAAAATTTCCAACTGTATTTCCTTTCTTGGTTACTGTTTAGAATATGTTTTTTTAATTGTTGATACTTTCACAGCCTTTGCTTCTCGTGACGAAGTATTTCACAAGGGCAGGGATAAGTCGGAGCTTGCTACAGTTTATTCATCTTACATATCAAAAGTATTATCTGGATGTAGAGGGTCGAATAATGTTGGAGCATTGATTATGGAACCAGGCAAGATATTTTATGTGACCTTTCCTTTGCAGATTATAAAATGTCATTTTAATTTAACCATCCCCTCCTGTGCCCTAATAACGTGATCCTGTGGATTTATATTAGTGCAATGCATGAAGCTGAACAAAAATAAAAATAAAAAATGAAATAATCATTTGCTCGCTTAATAGTCTTCACTCTTCACATGATAACACATCAAACTCCGTGTCTAAACTATGCCCACAATAACACAATTACATGTGTGAAATGTAAATGCAATACTGCATTTTGGTGGTTCTATGTAGGTCTTCCACACAGGTAAACTGTCTTGCTTTTCTTTTTCTTGGTTCCTATAAGATGTCTTCATTCTGAAGTTGTTTCAGTGGCCTTCTAGATCTTCTTGTTTAATTTAATTGCACATTTTCCCGGAATTGATCAACTCATTTCGGGCCTGGGCTTTTCTGTAGTGATACAAGGTGCTGGTGGAATGCATATGGTTGATCCACTTTTTCAGCGTGTACTTGTTAATGAGTGTCGGAGTAGAAAAATTCCAGTCATCTTTGATGAGGTTTTTACTGGTTTTTGGCGTTTGGGAGTAGAGGTGATTCCCTTAATGACTACTATTCTCTTTTCTCATTCTTCAAAAAACTGTTTTCTATATTCTTCATTTATTTGATTAGCACTTTTATATTTCTTCTCACAGACTGCAGTGGAGCTAATCCATTGTGAACCAGATATAGCCTGCTTTGGGAAGTTGATGACTGGTGGGATTATTCCATTGGCTGCCACCTTGGCAACAAATGCTGTGTTTGATTCATTTATTGGAGACTCAAAGGTATTGCGATTTTTTTTGGAGGATTTTCTTTCTCTGGGTTGACTAGACATGGAAACTGTTGTATTTTTAGATTTTGATGCCGATGGAATGGATTGCTTATTACACCGACAACTAATTTATTGTTTTCCTTTGCTTTTGCTGGTTGCATTCCATCATAGCTGTATATCATCTGACAAGTACTTTGTTAATCTCAAACTTGATTTCTTTTATCAACCTATATAGACTATTTAGCAGCTTGAACTGGTTGCTTATTCTTTGTTGTTGATTTTCTGATTGCTTTCATACAACAGATGTAAACTAATAATGCCCTAAAATATACTAGATTTCTTGTGATAAAGATAGTGATTTCTTATATCCCTGTGTGATATTTTAAGCAATGGACACTAGTCTTCTCACTTTTTCTTGGTTGTGCTGGCCTTTATTTTCTTCCTTAAGTGTTTCTGGTGTACTAGAAACAGGTTGTGACAAATCATGGCTTTTCGATTTTTTAGTTCTCTAATTGTATTTGAATATTTGATTTACCTTTTGGTCCTACTTTTGCTTATTCAAAGCAAAGTTCCTGGACAGTGTTTTGATGACATAATAAAGTGATGTGCACTCCTGTTCTGGTTAGCTCAAGGCCCTTTTGCATGGACATTCTTACTCTGCACATGCTATGGGCTGCATGGCTGCAGTTAAATCCATCCAATGGTTTAAAGACCCTAGTTCCAACGCTAACGTCTCTTCTGAAGGAAGATTACTTAGGGAGGTATGATAATTGCAATTTGTTTTGTTTTCTCTGAACTTCTAGCTTACTCCATAATATGGACTACGCATGACTACACTAGCCATTTTCTCATTGTATTTCTTGTCATATAATGAAGGATTTGTTGTTCAATTTTTCTTACCATATATTATGCATTTGTGTGTGTGCATATAAATAATATGTTTTAGTATCAGCAAACATTTGATATGATTTGTTGTAAGTTGTAACAAATACGGGATCTGACAAAATTAGTTTTGGGAACTTTTCATGTTAAATTCTATATATATTGCTGCCTTAATGGAGTTTGTTATTGTTCACTATACAGTAATGATCATTTGATCTAATTTTGGATTTTCTATTTGCAGTTATGGGATGATAAAATGGTTCGCCAGATTTCATTACACCCTGCAGTTCAAAGAGTAGTTGCATTAGGAACTCTATGTGCCTTGGAACTAAAAGCAGAAGGCAATAATGCTGGGTATCATTTCATCAACTTTCTCTCTTTTCCCTCCTTTTCAATAATTTTGAGCATCTCATATTTTAGAATTCCTTTATTACATGGCTTAATGAGCTTATGTATAATTGTATCATGCTGAAGTTAGTAGAATGTTTCAGATTAAGGGGCAGTTGCAAGTGATGCTATCAATTAAATATTTGATATTTGTAAGTGTGTATACTAAGAGGGTGAGTCTAAGCACTGGTAAAGTAGCTACCGTGTGACTGAAAGGTCTCGGATTCAAATAATAAGAAATAAACTTTTCCCAAAAATGCAAGGTTTGCTTGAGAGCAACCCTTAGTAATTTAGTTTTGGTATTATGTTGTTGAAGGAAGCTCATATTTTAGCAACTTGTAGATTGGCAGTATCTCTTGGTACTTGATATGTAGACATCTTTTCTCTCCTATCAGCTCTTCCTGTTGTCATCTTGAGTACAACTGCCATAACATTTATAACGAGGGCTATGAACTGCAGGACATTGTGTTTATAGTTATTGGTCATGCATACTTCTCTACCTGTATTTTTTTATTTTCAAATTCTTATTTTGTAATGAAAACTTCATCTTTTCATGGATAGAATGTACAAATAAAACTTTAATTTTGATCATTTTTGTCGACGCACCACTTTGGTTCGTGGGGGAGAAAAGGGGTGGGGTGTCAAAGTTGAATAAGTTATGCATTTTACCCTTCATGAGGTCTTATTATTTAGTTTTGCACAGGTATGGAACATTGTATGCAAGACCCCTTCTTCAGAAACTTCGGGAAGATGGTGTTTATATGAGGCCTCTCGGTAACGTCATTTATCTCATGTGTGGACCCTGCACGTCTCCAGAAATTTGCAATCAATTACTCGTCAAACTTTATAAGAGGCTTGAAGAATTTAATGGAAGTAAAAATTGAGAATCCTGACCTGGGGGGAACTGAGGAGATTGCAAATCCAAAGTAACCATTGGTTTGATTTTTTCCTTCTTAAGTTGATATGTTTTTGTTTATAATTACAAAAATGTTATTTGATTTATCATGGTTTCTTGGTAAATAAATATTTTTCACTTGACTTTCCTATCATTTCATGCCAAATACTCATACCAAACATCTTCTAAATGTTTCGTGCGTTTTCTAAGTTTTCTTAAAGGGAATTGGAGTGTAATTTATGTTATTTAATGTCGCAGTAGCAATAATCTATTTAGGGATGTGCATGGGTTGAATCGAACCGGATTTTTTTGAAAAACCGAATCGAATTGGTTTAAATAGTTCGGTTTGAAAGTGGTTCATTCGGTTCAAAACTGATTCGGTTCGGAAGTGGTTCGGTTCGGAACCGGTTCGGGTCGACCCTCTTTTGAAAAGAAAAAAATTAAAAACTTAAAAAATAAAGTTATAAAAATCAATTTGGTTCCGTTTGAAAACGGGCCGGTTCGATTCAAAATGGTTCGGTTCATGATCTGGTTCTTTAAAAACTGGTTCGGTTCATGAACTGATTTTTAAAAATCGGTTATTTTAAGAGCGGTTCGGTTCATGGTTCGGTTCATTTTTTTTTTATTATTTTGCACACTCATAAATTTGTTGACTGTTGATAACTCTTGATGTTTGTATTCCTAATTAGGTTTTTGTGCTATGATGCTTTGTTATCGTGCATAATAACAATAAACAAAACAAGTGATAAATTTAATATTCGTATTTGGTAAGCAGAGGGAGCTATTTTTCCCTAGAATTGGTTGTGAGTTAGCTTTGTACGGTCCGTTACTTGATGCATAAACCGTGTATCTAATACAGGATTCAAGAATACTAAGAGAAGTCTTTGCCTAGGAGAAAATTAATGTATAGGACTTGTATCTTGCATAACTTTCCTCTTTTATTTTCTGACATGTAAACGTGTGATAAATTATTTAAAAAATTGTTTTAAAGAGGCTAATAACTATTTTAGTTATCGAAAATGGAAAAATCTCGTAAAATTATATATTTTTCGTTAATTGCTGAAATGCGATTATGTTTCATAAACTTGTTAACTCACATTTAGTTGGCGCCAGTCAATAGCTTTTGGACAGCCCCGGTCCAGTTTTCTTACTCTTCAACCGGTAAAGCTATCATCGTGTAATAGGAATCGAAACCATTTTTTCTGCTGAAACAAAAATATATGTGGGTCCCATACCCGTAATAAAAATAAAAAATAAAAAAAGTTGGTGCGAAAACCAATGAATCAGTAGGTAAAAAATGTTATATTATGTTACATGATACTAGTTTTTCCCCTCTTCAACATGTTAATTGATTTATGGGTTATATTTATCTACTTTTACATAAGATAACTACATTTCCTACACACACACAAGCTAGGTGGGTCCCATTTCTTTTTTTTTCTCTCTCCTCTTACTTATGGGTCCCACTTACAATCTTGTTTCTACAACATAAGATAAGCATTTTCCTACAACATAAGAAAATTATTTCCCTTGATTTATATGGATCACCACGTTGTGTAAAGTTAAAAATAAATAAAGTAAATATTTTTTTGGGTCGTTAACAAAAGATATGGTTCCTACTTTAGTCTCTTACAAAAAAAATTAATTTCAAGGTTATTAAGAAATTCAAAGTGAATTCATTTAGTTGAAATCGTGGTTCCTCGCAAATTAAAAAAAGACTCATATTAGTTCTTCAAAAGGACTAAAATGAATCAACTTTGAGTTTCTTAGGAACTTCGAGACTAATTTTTTTTATAAAAGACTAAAGTGGGAATTATATCTTTTGTTACGGATCCAAAAAAATATTTATTCATAAATAAATAAAATGCACCTATGGCTTGTTAAAATGTTCTTTCTCTCTCCACGTTCTAAAAGGAAGCTCTATGTGCATTCTTGCACCCAATTCTAATTAACGACAGTGCGATATTGAAAAATGTTTGTCATTCTAAATGACATAAAATTATGTCATTTTAAGAAAGAAATAGATACAAAAAATATTTTTTATTTAAAATTTAAATTATAAAAAAATCACTTATTTTCTTCACCCACAATTTTTATTCCTTATGTCTATCTCTTTCTTAAAATGACATAACTTTACAAACTATTTTTTGGTGAACTCATTAAATATGTTTTGTTTCAGTTATATTAATTATTTGTGTCTTTTTCTTTAATTATGATTTTAAACCAAGTAAATGTTTTTTTGTCTTCATCAATGTTTACGACAAATGGAACGAGATGATGTCAGCCTCTAACTATCAAGTGACGTGAATAGAGAGTATAACTGTATAAGTGGCCGGCCACCAATGGTTATCTAATCTGATCAGGGGAAACGTACGGCCACGATTGCCCGTTACTTCCCCCTTTCAACGACAAGGACCGTATAAGTTAAATAAGCCACCAAAAAACATTGTATTTGTACTGGGACTGAATAACGGGTGTAATAATCAGGTGCGGATCATCAAAGCTACACATCGTCAATTTAGTGTTGGGATTATCCAAAGTTCATGTTGGACATCTCATCATTTGATTAAAGTGATAAGGAACGGTGTTCCTTAAAGTAGACGATCACTTCTCCATTCAGCTGAAAGTCGCCAGAGTAGACCATAATAACTATACGAACTGAACTAACCTATTTCTGTTTTCGATTTTCTCGCTCTTCTCTCTCTCTCTCTCTCTCTCTCTCTCTCTCACTAAACACTCCAAGTTCTCTCTCAGGTTAGAGTAGCACCGTAGCCTCCCTTTTGCATTCCCGCTTTCTGTTTTCCCTTCGCTCTCTCGCTCTATCTCTTCTTCAAATTTTCAACTCGACAAAACCAATTCTGGTTTTCTCTGTGTACAGTTCGTTACCGACAATTTTTTTTTTCTGGAATTTGCTGCTAGAGATTGCTTTTTGGGGGTTTCGCAAGTTCACAATTAGAGGTTTTCCTGAAATTCGAGTTCAATTTGTTTGTTATTATGTTCTAGATCTGTTATGAATTTTTTTTGTTTTGTTTGGGTGCTGTGGCTGCTAGGGTTTCTTTGTTTGTTTATTAGTTTTTTTTTATTGTAGGTGATAGTGGTGACTTTGTGGTTTTGGGGTGGTTGCAGATTTGGTAATCAAGGTAATTATTGGAAGAGAGTGCAAATGCAGAGGCCGACGAGCGACGCAATTAGTATGGGGAAAAGGACTCTGGAGGGTGGTGAAGATGAGCAGCCTGAACGAAAGAGGCCTGCTCTTGCTAGGTAGTTGCTACTCTTTCTGCAGTTGTGTGCTTCTATGAATTTGCTTTGTTTATCCACCATTTTAGTTTAGTGTTTTTTTGGGGTAAAATTTTTGGTTTTAATTTTGTCACTATTTTGCACAAGTTAGTAGATCTGAGCAAATAATAATTTATTTTTGGGGGCGCATATGACAGTGCTAGTCCTAATTTAACCAGTAAACCCCTGTTGCTACTTCTGAAGATATTTGTTGTGTTGGTCAATCATTATACCTGATTTTAACCCCTAACTTGTTCTAATAGTCGAGTTAGATTATCATGGCTATCTTCCTAAGTTGCTGCGGTGGTCGAACGTTTTATTGTCAATGTCATTGTTGGTGCTGAATATTACTTGTTACCAGTGTTTGTGACAACCACTTAATCTTTGCTGTTGCGGCTTATGTGATAATTTTCTTCTAGATGGTTTTGGCCTGATTTGTGTTTTTTTTTTTTTGGTATCCATACTGGCGGATCCAAATTGGGGGCAGTTCTCCCAACACCATTTTCTCCATTCCTAGCACTTGAACTTGGTTAAGGTTTTGGTTCCATTTTTAGTATCATTGTATCATGCACTTAAAAGATTCTTTCTGGTATTTCCAAATCAACTCAAAAGTAGTAACGGTTATTTGAATCACTGAGGATGGTCAAATAAGGAAACCTGTAACTGGCTAGCTTTAGTTTATTTGTTTTTCTTCTTTGCTGCTGCTGCTTTTTCTTCCATTTTTTGAAGGAGGAAATCTTAAAATTTGATTTTGTTCCTAACTCGTTTTCTTTTCTAATATCTTTCCTTCTTTAATCGAAACTCTCCTGTAAAAGTTTGTAACCCGGAATATAAAAATTGTTTTGACTTGAGAGATTGCATCTCTTTGCTTATCATATAAAAAATGTCTTACTACCTCTTGAGGAATAATTGAAACTGTACTTCCTTAGTGAGGAAGGTTCTTGGTTTGCAAGTATGAAGGGCATAGGAGGAAGCTTCTCCCAGTGCATAATCTGTAGTCATTCTCTATTATATGAAAAAAATTGAAAGGTCTTCCTCATTTTCATTATCTTCAGAGCATGTTTTCTATTGTTTGTTGATACCATTATTGTTTGGTCAAATGCACTCTAAAACTTTCGTAGGAGTTAGGATGAAATAATCAAATCAGTATTCAGTAACTTGATAGCAAATGAATAGTTTCAGTTTTATATTTCAAATAAATCAGTATATATGCTTATAAACCAAAATAATTATATGTTTATTTAGAAACTTATCTGCTAAACTTATTATGAAACAATATTTTATTTCTTATTAGTCTTTGTCCATATGCATACTTCTTTCTAATTTATTTTCTTTGTTAGTTTCCTATAATTGATACACTCGTACCTTGCAGTGTAATTGTGGAAGCTCTCAAGGTGGACAGTTTGCAGAAGCTTTGCTCATCTTTAGAACCTATTCTTCGTAGAGTTGTAAGACATTTGGCTTCACACTATTCACTTCTCTTTTTGATGTGTTTGGTTTTTTGGTGGGGGGCAGAGGGGCTGTACATTCTACAAAGTTATATGCCTTTTATTCCAACTGGAAGCCACTTTTGCACATTAAATCATTTCTAAAAAGTTATGCCATTTGTTATGCAATTTCATGCTGTTGGAGTATTTTTACTTGAGTGTGGACATTATCCTGCTTATTTGTGAAAAATCTTCTTGTTTAACCAAATTTTTTGAACCTTAGCTGATTTTGATTGCCTAAGGAACCTATTGTTCACAGGATGGCAGTATATTGCATGTACATTTTACTTTCAATGTTCCATTTTACGCAATTTTTTTCCTTCCTTTTTTGGTATGTCATCACTCATCATTAGTTAGATCATTTGTGTGAAAACATGAGTTTGACCTGTGATTGAGAAAATGAATGATTCTGTATTCAATTCATAGAAGAAATTATACTGTAATACGATTTGTTTTGTTATACCTGTAAGTTTCTGCATTTGATTCTTATTTGGTTTAATAACAATGATGTGAAACAGGTGAGTGAAGAAGTGGAGCGTGCTTTGGCAAAGTTAGGTCCTGCAAGACTTAGCGGAAGGTCTAAGAAATTCTTTACAATTGGTGGAAATTGATTTCAAAATATTTGTAGTTTCATAGTTTCCCTTAAACTATAACTGTGTTTTCTCCATGCTCTTTTTCATGTATTTGTCTGTAGAACAAGCAAAGATATTATTGGATACTGTGGAAGTAACAACTATCATTTCACTGTATAGTTTTGAGTTTTGTGGCGTTTTTCTCTTTTAGATTTTGATTCTGTGGTGTATATTAGGTGGTATTAAAGTGAATAATTTCTTGGTTCTCGGGTGGAAAATATCCCCTCCCTCTGAAAGTTATCTTGTGATGGTTGGCTGCAGTATCAAGAAATATGATAATGCATGATAATGATGTGGCATGGAGATGGCTGCGTATATGATTGAGCTCATCCAAAATATATTTGTGCTACTGGCTGGATTTTGAAAGTATATTGAAGAATGCTTTATTTTTTCTTTTAGTAGGATTAGAAATGATTGGAAAGGAAAAGAGATATGAAGATAGAGGATTAGGAATCCTCTTAAAAGTGGCCAACCAACAACAAAGCTAAGAAAGTAACCCTATCTTGAAAGATGATGTGTTAGGGGAAATCTACTCCTAAAAAATCTAGCATTAAGCTCTAATTAAATGCTCCATACTCTTGCTCTCTTAGTGCACTTCCACAAGACCTTGTTACTTTCTCTTTTACTCCAGCCCTGAAACTGAATTGGAAGAAACTGAACAAGGAAATTATAATTTTGACAAAAGTCATTTTATTAGGTGTCATTGACTATTGAGGCACTGTTCAACCCACCACAGTGCTAGGATTTAGCTTTCATGATATAAATATAGACTAACTCACTAGTTATATTGGTATTTATGTGACAAAGTAAGTCCGGCTTTTTTTAATTTAATTTTTTTTTATATATATGCTTAGCTGCCTTGGTCTTATGGGTCAATAGTGTAGTATGGTGGTAATGATTGCATTCATTATGTGATATCCCCTATTTGTTTTTTTTTTTTCTGGTGGCTGTATGTATGACCCTTCCATTGACCTTTCTTTTTTCATCTAATATAATGTCCATACTTTCAAAATTATACATGTAACTATCACCACTTTAATGCCACCATTGTCATATTTAAATTTAGTACCTTGGTAAGTCTGGTATTTTTTTTTCTAACAGCTTTAAAATTCCAGGTCTTCTCCTAAAATGATCGAAGGTCCTGATGGCAGAAACTTACAGCTACAGTTTAAGTCCCGGCTGTCTCTTCCCCTATTCACAGGAGGAAAAGTGGAAGGCGAGCAGGGGGCTCCTATTCATGTTGTTCTGATCGATGCCAATAATGGAAAAGTTGTAACATCTGGACCTGAATCCTGTGTGAAGCTTGATGTTGTTGTCCTTGAAGGCGATTTTAACAATGAAGATGATGAAGATTGGACTCAAGAAGATTTTGAAAGCCATGTGGTGAAAGAACGTGAAGGAAAGAGACCTTTGTTGACTGGGGAACTGCAAGTGACACTCAAGGAAGGAGTTGGAACATTGGGGGAACTGACATTTACAGATAATTCAAGCTGGATAAGGAGCCGTAAATTCAGGCTTGGCCTGAAGGTTGCATCAGGTTTTTGCGAGTCCATACGCATTCGTGAAGCTAAGACAGTGGCTTTCACAGTTAAAGATCATAGAGGAGAATGTAGGGTTATGCTTCTGCTTCTTCAAGTTTTTTTTTTGGCATTAGTGCTCTCTGCTCCTACACTGTAATTACCATCTTTGAAATTTTATATTTTGTCCTTTTTACAGTATATAAGAAGCATTATCCTCCTGCGTTGAGTGATGAGGTGTGGAGATTGGAGAAGATAGGCAAGGATGGGTCATTTCACAAGAAGTTGAATAATGCAGGAATAATCACAGTTGAAGACTTTCTTCGGCTTGTGGTTAAAGATCAACAGAGTTTGCGGAATGTAAGTTTAGGTTTTACGTCTTAATCTTGAAGTTAGGTCTTTCAGTCATTCTCTTATGCCATTCAACTGTAGATTCTTGGGAGTGGTATGTCAAACAAGATGTGGGAGGCTCTCTTAGAGCATGCAAAGACCTGTGTTCTAAGTGGGAAGCTCTATGTTTATTATCCAGAAGATACAAGAAATGTTGGTGTTATCTTTAACCACATTTATGAGCTGCGTGGCCTTATAACTGGAGAACAATACTTTTCTGCTGATTCTCTCACTGATAGCCAGAAGGTTAGTCTGCATCGTCTGTTTCTTCCACTGATATTTGTCGATAATGCAATTTCTTTTTGATGTGTTTGATAAGTTTCTGTATGATAGGTTGTCCTTCTCGAGAAGTTGAGCATGCATTTATGTTGCTGACATACTTCAATTTATTAATATAATTGATACAGCAATGCTGTCCGTATGTTTTCTCTCTCACACTTGCAAACGTACCAATATTGAACACAACTAAACAATTACATGTTATGTTACTGACTGAGAAATTGTAGATAATGATCAGGATTATAACATATAAAACTTACCAAGTCTCAGATTGTACTTTCCTTTTATAGCTTTCTGTTAGGATTAGGTTAAGCTTTTGATACCTTTAAAATGCTTTTGCAATTCCAGGTTTATGTAGATTCATTGGTGAAGAAGGCGTATGACAATTGGGATCAGGTTGTAGAGTATGATGGCAAATCACTTGTGAATGCTAAGCAGAATAATGGATCTGTTGAATCAGAAAATGAACTTCATTTAGAGTCAATTGATTATGGTAGTGCTTTAGATCATCAACTGCAACTGCCGGTCCTCCCAATGTCTGTTCCTTCTGAGCAGCAAATGCATTCAGGGATGCCAGTTGGAGGTAAGCATTACTGTTTCCTTGAACTCCAATTTGATGGATGCTCTCTTTTTTGTTCCTCCCCCTCCTTTTCTTTTGTGCTGGGGGTGTAAGATTTTCAGTTGCTTGTGTCTCAAATATGATTTTTGAATACAGCTTTCTGATAATAATATTGAAAGAAGTGAGATGTTTTCTGTAATATTGTTGATAAAAAAATCTCAAGATAAAAAAAAATAATTTAAAAATGAATATTCTAAACACCCCAACCCCCAAAGAAAAAAAGAAAAAAAAAGCGTTTCCATATACATGAATAAAGTTGTTTATTTGCTAAGTTCTATGCAACATTGCTGATTGTGTGTGATGATCTTTAAGATGCGAATTTGTGATAATGCTTGTACAATCCCTTTTCAGGTTATAACGATAGTATGACAACAAGATATCCAACCCAGTCAGTGATTGCAAACTCCAACTCCCGGAGCCATTTCGACAGCTCATTATATCTGTCTAATGACCAGCTAATCAGCAGTGCTCACCAAACCCATAGCACTAGAAATGATCATGGCACGGTTGGGTTAGCTCTTGGTCCTCCTCAATCATCGACGTCAGGGTTCCATGCTGGCAGCGCTTCTATTCAGCCATCTACCCAAAATCCTTTTGATGATTGGTCACACAATAGGGATAGGGGGGTTGATGAATTGTTTTCAGAAGAAGAAATCCGCATCAAAAGTCACGAGATGCTAGAGAATGAAGATATGCAGCACTTGCTTCGCCTCTTCAGCATGGGAGGTCATGCCTCCATGAATGCTGAGGATGGCTATTCGTTCCCATCATTCATGCCATCACCGATGCCAAACTACGATGAGGATCGCTCTCGTCCAGGAAGAGCTGTTGTGGGATGGCTGAAGATCAAGGCAGCAATGAGGTGGGGTTTCTTTATCAGGAAGATAGTAGCTGAGAAGCGGGCACAGCTAGAGGAGTTAGATGAATAGGTTGTTTGGACAATGGTTGCAGGCTTAATAGATATGCAAATCTAGTTGCCTTCATCAGTGCCAACCGAATTGTGCAGTCCATGGTAATGACATTCTTGATTTATGCATCTGTGTATTTGACTTGACAGCTCATTTGTCTAGTATTCTGTACAGTATGTTGAAGCTTAGGAAAAACCGTGATTGTCATTTGTTTTTCACTTTCATGTTAATGCTTCTCTCTTGTAACCTTTCCATTGGCTCTGGGCTTGTAGTTATGATGTGATAACAGAACACCTGTCATATTTGAGATGATAACTTAGATTTGTCGTCTCACTTGATTAATGTATATTAATTATGATCTACGTAATTTTCTAGTTGTATTATGACTTATTATCTCACCATTTGGTGTATTACTCCGGTACTATTATCTCTTATATTGGTATCTTACTATATCTGAATCCAATAGGGAGATCAATTTCTCCCATTATCAGTATTACTGTGGGGGGTGTAACGTTAGGGGCTGGGAAGTTGGGAATTTTTCTAAAGGAAATAAGGACTGGAATAAAATTGTCGCAAAGCAGATTCGGAAAGAATCATACTTTATTAATAAATTAAATTTTTTTTTTAAAAAAAAAAAACTAATTTCCTTTGTAATTTTGATTTGGTAGAACTTAAAGTTGTTGTGCGATTTTATATTTTTATTTTATTATACTGTATTCATGATTTCATTTTATTTTTTTTGCAATTTTGGATTCCCGTGAGAACCTACCGGAAATCAAAGACAGCTCTAGTATTAGTATCCAGTGTTGGTTTGGTAGTGTCTAGGAAGATTGACCCGTCCCCCTCTACTGAATCCCATTCGAAGTTATCTGAATATCCTTGAAAGGTGGCGTGGAGTGCAATCCTGTTTCGGGTGTGTGCAATAGATTTAGTTTAGAATTGCTTTGATTTTATTTTACCTTATGTATTTTTTTCATCAATTTGAAAAACAACTTTAAAGGTAAGGATGTTTATAAAGTTTGCCTTCACTCCCTCCTCACTAATCGAGCTTCTCAATAATAACTGGGGAGTGGTTTTTTTAATCGGTCCACCTCCTTTAGAAATTGATACATAAAAAATGACAGGAAAATGAAACAGAAAAATTAATATATTTTACATATGCATACATACATCTTAAGAGTGGGCCACATTTATTATCCTAGTGGTGAGTGATGACACTGATGGAAAATAATGAAAGAGTTAAAATTAGACTAGCTACATCAATAAACTAATATTGGAATGCTATGATTATAGAAAAATATCACGAATTGGTTGGTTGTTTTCTCTCAAGAGATATGTTGTATTCTGGAGGAAGACTGCTTTGTGTCTGTGCAGTAATTGGTATATCATGTACTTCTTCTGCACCCATTTTAAACTCTCTTGACCTGTAGCGTCCAGTTCCTGTGAAAGCCAGGAACTGCCGGTGGAGGCATTTGATGTAGGATTAGCTGGATGTGGGAACATTGCAGGGCCTAATATTGTTGTAGGTCTAGAACTTATTTTATTTTATTCTATTTCTCTTTTTTAATAGTTTGTACTTGGGCTATAAATAATAACTTGTATATAGATTAGGGTTTTTAATATAGTAAATATTGTCACATACCCTTGGATGAACTAGAGTAAATTATGTGTCTCCGTTTTTTCCCATTTTGTTTCTCTTTTACTTTGTGATTGTTAGTGTATTTGTCGTCGTTTCCAACAATTAGAAACATGTAGGAAACAGTCGAAGAACTAGCAGTGAATAGTTTGAAAACAAAGAGAATTGAGTGATCTTTTGTAATTGGCAGTGATTAGTGAAGGGTGAGTGGTATGTGTAGGAACAAGATTGGTATTTGTAAGAAGCCGGTTAGTGATGATAATTTTGAGGAAAGGCAAGCGAAATTGCATGGAGCGAATCTAAGCTGGACACAGTTGTCGGCTTGTCGTGGTTGTTATTAATAAAGTGTAGCAGATGGCACTGGCTATTCTCACACAGTAATAATAATATTAATAACAAAAGAGCTTCCACGCGGTTGTTTCTTTTATTAAACATTGAAAGAGAACGTTTTGAAAGAGTTGAGATCAGTTGTCAGCTTGTGCAGTCGTGAACCAGCTCTAACTCTGCCCTATGGGGTGACAGTGACGCTGGTAAGTGCCAACCCAGCATAAAACTTTTCCAGCACAACTTATAATATAATTTCTTTTAAATATTATTATAAAAATATAATGTTATTTTGTTAAATTTTTTTTTTATAAACAAGAAGTATCAATGTATCATCCATCGTGCATTCATATATATATATATTTTTTAAATATTCCATCGGTTCATTGTTTCATGACTAGTCCGATTCGGAGCAGATCTAGGATCAAGGTTTTAACTCCTTCCAAAAATAATATTGAGAAATATCGAACACATGTGTTCTCATCCCCACCTACTCAGCTCCTATACGCTAACTGAACTACCATCATTTAATAGTTCACTGGTATTATTTTGTTACTATATTTGCTGAAAACTTTCGGTCTTAGACATTGGCGTTGACCTCGTGCTTTCAAGCTTTGAGCATTTCGAACACACTGTTAAAAATACAAAATTAAAGTGATGCTACCGGAATGGAGCAAGTTGTATTAGCCCTTTATGTGAATTATTAAAAAATTCAATTCAACACACTGTTAAAACACACTTCCTTTTCTCTCCTTCTCTTATCTTTGTGTTGATACCTTTACATTTTTTTTTTATAAAAAAATTGTCTTTAAACTGATGTGTTAGCTAAGTGTCCAATAAGTAGCGCATATCCAATAATTTTTCATTCAACATAACACAGGCGATAAGTATTACACATCTCTTTTTAAAAATTGGTACCTCTGAGAAAAATGAACACTTGAGTAGTTCAGTAACTAGAAAATTAAAATTCATTGTAGACATTTAAATGCATTTGCAAGTGTGGAATCACACTATCAAGTCGTGGATGTATCATTATTTTTTTTATTCATGCATTATGATAATACTATTATTAATAGTTAATACTAAAAGAATTTGCCAAAAAAAGTGATCTGCGTAATTGGGAACAAATATGAAAATCCGGCACAAATGGGGAAAAGTTGAGAGCTGATAAGATATATAAATTAGTCAATGAATTTCAAGCTACCAATGAAAAAATAATGTAAAATTTTGACATGTAATTAACAGAACCGTTACAAGTTACAACAATACTTTCTAGTTTCTAAGCTCTACGTGATATTTTACATCGTATGCAAAGCACAAACCGCAAACAAATATAAGGAATAAAAGAATGATACGTAGGAAAATGATATTGTAACACATTTTGAGGATGCAAGATGTAAACTCTTATGAGTGGGAGCATTCGAGAGGGAGGCCTTGGGGAAATCTATTTTTGTCAGCACAATAATTATAAATCATGTAGTTCTTTTGCACCCACCGCAGCCTCTGCTGACCAGTTGAATCCACCTCTTGTGATTGCCAGGATGCAGATGAAGGAGAATTTGATTTGCATGAGGATTTTCCACCGTTCCATACACAAGCATTGTCGTCATTGAAGTTCCTGTAGGATGCTGTGAAAGGAGATTTGGACCAATCTGTCTTGATGAGTCCACCCCTTGTGGCCCAATTATCTGCGTTCCAAAGGCTGGAGTATATCCTCATTGGCTGGTTCTTTGGAAAAGGAACTCCAATTGATTCCATATTCTTGAACTCCCTGATGGGTGTACCATCCACTGAAAAGCTGAAACAGATAACAATAAACTATTTAGTAACTAATGAACTACACAAACACATAAATATATATATATATACATGAGCCAGCTTCATAGTTAGTTAGATAGGAAATTTTATGGATGAGTGGGTGCTTACACAATGCGTTGACTATTCCAGAGAATTGAATATGTGTGGAAATCTGCGGTTGGGTCAAACCAGAGATAGAATTGTTGCTCTCTGTTTCCCTTGCCTTGGCTGAACACATTTGTGTGTAGGATATAAGGGTCACCACTGAGGTTTCCTAAGAATTCGAAGTCAATCTCATCCCAAGTTGATCCCTTTGAGGAGAGCTGACAAGGACGAAACATTTCTCCGTTAGTCATATATATGACCGAACAATCATGCAATCTCTATAAAAACAATAATCCTTCGAGAGAAGAGTTCAATGCTTTGTAAACTAATTTAAAAAATGAAACTTACATAATAGGCAGTGACGGTGCCAGCAGAGTTTCCTGGAACAAGCTTGAGCTGCATATCAATTTTTCCAAATAAGTATTCATTATTGGACTGGAATCCAGAGCCGGAGGCTTTGTCAAGGGACAGAGTGAGAAGATTGTCGTTGTTGAGTATTTTTGCACGACCATCTCCCCATGTAATCTGAAAGTCTTGGTTGAAGTTACCAGCAGCACAGACAACAACGTAAAAACTCGCAAGCAGAGGAATAAGAAGAAGTCTTGAAGAGATCGTAGAAGCCATTTTATGTTTGAACTTTGAACTATGAAAGTGTAGTGCCAAGTGCCAACTAACTAGTTTTTTCAATGCAAGAAAGAAAACAAGAGGTAATGTTTGTTGTGAGAAGCTTTAAAGAGAATCAGCATATATATATAGTGTGGGAAATGAACGTGTGACTTGCAGCAACAAGCAGAGGAAAAGTATGCGAAGGTCCCAAGTAAGAGCTAAGCTGGAGATAGTTGTATGGTGAGATAGCTGTCAAAAGCTCTAATGCGCACGACCAACTTTGTCATATGTAATTAATAAAGGAAGGTAATATTGGTGGAGGGTGGATGTGACTCTTGTGAAGGAGGAATAAATCTTTGGTGTTATTATTGCAGTAAGATTAACTGCATCTTATCAATGGGAGCATTGCACATTATAGGAGAAAGAAAAAATTTGGCAAAAAAAAAAAAAAATTATCTGACATGTAATATTTTTATTAATGAGATATACTAAATCTTTAGTATAACAGTAGCACCAAAAATTTATTCACGAAGAAGACGCGGTTTTTTATTTGGTTTTTGAGACTAAACGCAGTCACTGTCATCAGGTATGAATATGATCATTATCTTAGTGGATAGGGTCCAGCTCACCGACGCCACACCTTGAATCCTTCAACCGGAATTTTTTAATATTGCATTTTTGACTGATCAAGTAATACCCAAATATTGCATTTTTTTGCTAGTTGCTGTGGGCTAAGTACATCTCATAGAAGCTCTCTGGAAGCAAACTACCGAGACATTTTAGAAATTTGAATTTTGCTATCAATAAAAGTCATGGATTTAGGACATGTATCACAACTATTATATTGTCCGATACTGTTTTTGAAACAACTTTTTTCTAAATTTATGACTTACAAGAATTTTGAGAATCAGAATTATTTTTGTTAACACAATTTATTTTGATTCCCAGCACTATTTTTATTTTTACTAACAAAATTGAATTTTCAAAAGCTTGTAAAAGAGAGGGAATGTGTGTTGGTTTCTCCTTCTTCTTCTGCTTCCTCTCTTCTTCTTCTACCTTTTTACTTTGCAAAATTGCACTTTTCGTTTTTATTTTATTTTTATTTTCCTTAATACTTCATCATTTCTTTCTTTCTCTAAAATCTCTGCAATTTATTTCTTTCTCTAGAACTCTATCTTATTCCGTGTCGCGTTTGGATCGAAGAACCTTTGAATTTTTTAAACTATTCGATGAATTAGGGATTTGAGTCCTGAGCTGCGAAATCGATAGTCGTTGTTTGTGGTTTGTGAAGCTCGATGAATTCGAGCTTCTTTTCTTTGAAAATATTAGGAATTTTTTTAGGGGTGAAGGTGAATATGTCTCTTCCAAGAATGTGTTGTCCTCGTCATCAGAAGGTGTTGCAACGGCGACGTTATTGGATATTACGGTGAAGAAGCTGGAGAGGCAGCTTGATTTCTCTGGAGTGTCGGAACTCTCAATTGCAATTGCATTCGCAGTCGCACGCAACCACCTCCCACTGTCGCAGACCGTAATGCAGCAACCAGTGATTGTGATGTCATTATAGCCGCAGACACCTCATCCTTCGGTTAATGGTCTTTTGAGAGAAAGAGTGACAAATGAAAAAAAAAAACAGAAAAGTGACTCTTTTTGTGCCCAGGAACGGAGAACCAAAAAAGTTTTGTTTTTTGTTTTTATTCCTCAACACAAAAATTAAATCGGTTCATCTCGGGAACAAGAAAAATCGATTTTACCAAAGACTATTTCTATCAATTTATGTTCCCGTGAACAGAAATTAAAAAAAAAATCGATTCTCAAATGGTTGTCATGCATACTTTTAATGTCAAAATACAACAGCCAATAATTAGGTTAATTTGGCTTAATCTCATTTTTAATTAAATGAAAAGTAGTTACACACCAAAAAATTGGTTAACCAACTAAGTTGTTATGCTAGGCCAATTTAGAAGCTGGGAAAATATAACATGTACCAAATATACAATAACACTGCACGGAGAAAATAAAAAATCGATTTGTTTGTCTCGTAAAAGTTAACGCAAATCGTAAAAGTATATCAATGCATTTTAGTTTGTCTTGTAGTCATTCAAAAATTACAAAGTTTGACTCGATTTCTTTCGGTATTTCTCAGAAATAGACTTTCATTTATCACAATCAGATTTACGAAATAAGAATAAATAATTATTTTTATGCAAGGATTTGTTGCCTTAGTATTTGGAATTTTACAAATTAGTATTTACACAATTAAAATCAGATTTAGGAATTTAATTATATAAGTTAAAGGGTGAAAGTTTAATTTAATTATAAAAATGTGTTGGTGGACTAACTCGCCTGGCCGAGTCCATTGTGCCACCTCTAACTATCAGCATTTTATACCAAAATGTAATATGTCTTTATATTTATCCATACAAAAAAGCTTCTTATAGTTACGTCTAGATTACAATCTATCTATGTTTTATATAGTTGCCCCTAAATCGACTCTTTGAGGTGTGTGTATTTGTGACGTATATATTAGATGAAGAATTTGCAAATATTTGAGTTAGTACGTGTAATATTCTATCAAACACTTCATAGTTGAAGTTGAATGTCGTAATTTCAAAAATCCATTCATTAGCTTAATTGCATGAATATAAATTATTCATAAAATTAACATATATACAAGCATATATTTAATGCATCGTATTTAATCTCAATAAAACTTAAACTCTTCCAATAATAATTTGGTGAAGAACATGAAATTCAACTACTCTCAGTATTGAAAACAACTAATCATAAATAACATTAAAATAATGATATACTGCAAAACATATAATGATCATTACTTTTAATTGAGTAATTATCAAGAATAAATAATTATTTTTTTGCAAGAATTTGAGTCCTTAGTATTTAGAATTTTACAAAAATAAAAAAATAAAAGTTTATTGGAAAATAACGTGAATTACGAAGAGACACATTGTGTATTAAAACCAATTTTTTAAAACTTCTAACAAAATAATCATTGGTTCGTTTATAGACCCAAAGAATTAATTAATCCTAATAGACATAATAATAAATATTTTTAATAACCTGAATTACAAGAGACACATTGTGTATTAAAACTTATTTTTTAAAGTTTCTGACAAAATAATCATTGGTTCGTTTGTAGACCCAAAAAATTAATTAATCCTAATAGACATAATAATAAATATTATTAATAGGCTTAATAATTTTTGATGCAGAAAGTAGTGGTATTATTAATAGGCTTAACAATAATTACTCATGGAGAAAGTAGTGGATATTAATATAGTTGATTGCCACCAAAGAATGCTGAACTCTTTTCCTACTATCAAGTTTAAAATTCAAATTTAAAAAGTTACTAAAAGAAGAAACATTTAAAAGTGGTTTAATTGTGAAGAAAAAGTGTTAACATTTGAAAGTTACTAAATAATTTTTCAATAATTACTTGTTAAAATAAAAAATTGTAACAAAAATATAATAAACAAGTATGAGTTGATACAAAAAAATATTATACTTTAATTATTACTATATTGTGAAAAATAAATCGTAAGACAATCATTAACAAAAAAATCTGCAATAAGTACTAAAAATAGTATATGTGGTATTACTATCTATACAAAATAGTAATTAAATTTATATACAAATGTACATTTAATGCCAAGAATATTTCATATCACACATAAAATATATTTAACTTGCCCAACCCAATCCATGTGGTTTCTTGGGAACATAGTTGATAGAGAAAAAATATGCCGAGAGTTGAAAGACTAAATGCGATTTCATTGGCAATGCTTGATGTTTCTTGGGTTCAGGATTCAAATTTGAAATCACATTTAAAATAAATAAAAAATTTCCATATGCTGAAGGGCTGCTACATGTCATGCAAAACTTGGTAATGGCTATTCTTCATTTGTTAGTACAAATATTTTGAAAGATGTATTGTTTCTTAGCCGCATCTGTCATATGTGTGTGACACGTCTTACAGGCAGCTTCAACAACTTTATTATCTCATATGTTCTGACGTTGTGGCCAGAGTAAAGGCAAAGGTCAAGTGGAGTCAAACCATCGTAACACAAACAACAACGAAATTACATATTCTAAGCATTATGTATGACACCGAGGTTCTTTCACATTGATATAATTAACGCAGGAAATCGGTAGACAATTACCTTATTTTTTAATGTCTTATGATCACCTTTAATCAGCAGAAGCCTCATTGCATCTGTTCTTTGAGTTACAACATCAAGATGTAAAAGTGTCCAGCCATCTCGAGACAAAAAAAATAATTATGTTCCCAAACAGCTCATAAGACAAAAGAATAAGTGTTAGATAAGCTAAATATGAGAACAATTAATCATACTAGTGACTTGAAGGCTAATCTGGTATTTCTTCACAACAGGAATTGAAGAAAAATGAAGCGTTAACTGAAGAATGAACTCTATCTTAAAAAATAATAATGTGCTTGTTTTCTATCAAAAAATTATCTTCCGAATTAAGAAATCAGAATGAACAAATATGAGTTGATAGAGAAATTTGAGTAGATAAGCTAAATATGAAAACAATTTATCATATAAGTGTCTTGAACGTTAATATGATATTTCTTCACAGAAGAAATTGAAGAAAAATGAACCGTTAACTGAATACTGATCTCTAGCTTAAAAAAAAAATTGTACTTGTTTTCTATCCAAAATTTAGCTTCCAAATTAAGAAAATAAAAAATGAGAAGATTTCCTTTGTTCAGCAAGGTGTCTCCGACTTTAGCATAAAAACTAATTAAAAAAATTGCTCATGTGTTAGTATACTATATTAATAATAGAGAATATAGAAATAATATAAACAATTCACCCAATAAAGTATAGAACAATAAACATGGAAGATCAACAAACATGAAGTAGAAAACTATAAACGCACAAATAATGGATAAGATTATACCGAAGAACAACTTGAGAAGATGAAGAAGATAAACAAATAGAAACAAATGAAATGTGTACAGAAACTGATTACTAATG